CTGCTATCAGAACCATAACATATATGTTTAGGGGCTTATAATGAAGAAAATAGGATCAACATGTACAATTAGAGTCACTCACTGCCAAACACTTAAGTTTCCAATATATCGCAATACCTATCGCAATACGGGTACCTGAATCGCAGTATATCGCAATACCTATTGCAATACGGGTACCTGAATCGCAATGCCGATCGCAATACGGGTACCTGAATCGCAATATATCGCATGGCTATCGCAATACGGGTACCTGAATTGCAATATATTTCAATACAATTTATTTGTCAATAAACCACCCTAATCATCCATGTGTATAAGAATATGTTGTACAATGGCAAGAGCAAATGTACTGTAAGTCCCCATGGTTCCTGGTATGGTGATCTACCTTTAGCTGTTGGCAATCTATCACCTGTTTCTATATTGTAACGTCTTCTGTAGTATATTATTATTAGTTTTATAATATTTTAAAGTTACATACTAGTTTTATATTTATAAGTATGATATTCTAGTTGTTTTTACTGTCCTTCGTTGAAAGGCCTTTTTATAATATACATGTATTTATGGTGAATTCAAAACTTGTTTTAGTCACGATGTGGCTGAAATAGTGCCAATGTGACTTAAAATGTTAACCCACTCACTTACAATGGCAAGAATATTTGGAGGCAGGGGATCAAAGCAGATTGTGTTTCGTTAAATTTGTATCATATTTACCAGTTTCAAACTCTATTATTTCAATGGACATCAGGAAACAAAGTAGTTAAATGAAAACGACTGCTGCTATACCTTAAAGCTATAGATAGATTTGCTTTTAAAGCGGATATGTGCAGCTCAGACTTACTGAACAATCCACCCTCTGATCTAGATGAACTCTGCGACATGTATCATAAAAACTCTCTCAGACTTACTGAATGAACATGCACCTCCAACCTTCAAAACTGTGAAGGTAAAATCATCATTCCCATGGTATTCTAACTTAATACGTTCAGCCAAGAGGGAAAGGCGTATTGCAGAGCGGAAGTGGAGGCAGTCAAAATTAGAAGTTCACCGACAGATTAACAGATCTTGCAGAAAACCGAGTTACACAACTCATCATGTGTCTTGGATCCCATGCCAACCAAATTTCTGTTGGAATGTATTGATGTTCTGATTGTTCCAATAACTAAACTGGTAAATTTGAGTTTAACTTCAGGCACAGTTCCTACACCCCTGAAGGAAGCGGTCATCAGACCATTGATCAAGAAAGCAGGATCTGATCAAAATGACTTGAAACATTATCGTCCCGTCTCCAATTTTCCCTTTCTATCCAAACTTGTTGAAAGGGCTGTGAAGGTGAGACTGAACTTCCATCTTAGAGCGCACGGACTTATGGAAAAGTTCCAGTCTGCTTATAGACCACGTCATAGCACGGAAACGGCACTCATTCGTGTCACGAATGATTTGCTTTGCTCGGTTGACAGCGGAAAGTTTGCCCTACTTGTACTTCTTGACCTGTCAGCCGCTTTTGACACTCTTGACCACAATATACTTCTGAGACAACTTGAGACTTCATTTGGAGTAACCGGAATGGTTTGTTTCGTACCTCAGCAATCGACAGCAGTCAGTTATCATAAATAATCATGCATCTAAGTAAAGCCCTTTATCCTGTGGAGTACCACAAGGATCGGTTCTGGGACCAGTGTTGTTTACGCTTTACACCAGAGGAGATGAATCAGTACACATGATGTGAGCCACCATTTTTATGCTGATGACACCCAGTTGTCTGATTCGTGCAATCCCAGTACAGCAGATCGAATGTGGGAACGACAGTACAAGTGACGTAAAAACATGGATCACGACACATTTGCTCAAACTGAATGAGACGAAAACAGAGGCGTTGCTTGTCGGCACTAAGAAGAATCTTCATCAAGTGATGACTAACTCAGTCACAGTTTGCAACACTGTCATTCCATTTTCGAAAACCGTAAAAAAACCTTGGACTTTATCTGGACTCTGATCTCTCTTTGAAAGCTCATATCGACACAGTCTGCAAATCCTGTTACTTCCATTTGCGGAACATTAGCAGCATCCGAAGCTCCCTTACTACAGCGGCAGCTCATGCACTGGTGCGATCTCTGGTTCTCTCAAAGATTGACTACTGTAATAGCATCTTCTATGGACTTTCCGAAAAAACTTCTATCAAAACTCCAGAAAGTACAAAACTCTGCAGCTCGACTTGTCAGCAAAGTTCCCTCTAGGATCCACATAACGCCTGTTCTTAAGTCTCTTCACTGGCTACCAATCAGAGCCAGAATTGAATTCAAGGTCCCGAGTCTTGCCTACCAGTGTTACCATCTTACGGCTCCAAACTACCTTGTTGAGCTAGTCACCAAGCACAATCCTTCCAGAATGTTAAGATAGGCAGATAGACACCTTCTCACCATTCCCAGATAGAAACTCCGGGCGTTGGGGTTTCGCTCCTTCAGCTATGGTGCTCCACAGTTGTGGAATCAACTCCCGACTGAACTCAAAATGTCTCCCTCCATTGACTCATTTAAAAGTTCCCTGAAAACCCATCTTTTCAGAAAAAATTACAATCTATAACTTAACTTTCCAAAAATTTCACCCTCGTTCTAGCATAACCTTTGCTTTGTAAATATTTGTAAATATGTAGCGCTTTGAGCATGCTTTATGTGTGGAATTCAGCGCATTATAAATACACATATTATTATTATTATTTATTATTTCAAGCTGTTAGGTGGCAAAAGGAATGAGTTGCACTGACATGAACTATTTTCAAATTGTTAATTTCAGTGAACAGTCAAACAAACACGTTTGCGATTTATAAACAGCAAGTGTATCATTGGCAGACAGGTGAAACCAGGGCCACGTTTCACCGCTACACTCTTTACATAAAAGGCACAAGGGGTGGAACTCGCGATGCTAAAATCCTGATCGAAAACCGGACAGACCGATATTTTAACGTGCGGTTCAATCCTAACGTTTTCCACACAAAAAATTGTGTTAAGCTTGTAGGTGATTATTTTACCTTTCTGCTCATTGTATTCCATTTGATTGACTGCATTTCATATTTGACCACTGACCCTCGAATTAGCAATACCCTCCGCTTTTAACAAACGTCTGGCCTCTCTTCGGTAAACATCGACAGTTTCCGTAACTCTTTTAGTGTACGAAAACGTTATTTATGCAGTTTCGAGACACGAAAATCGTTATACATGGGCGTAATGTACACAATAACACAGACCCCATTTCAACACCGACATGTCCGTTGCTATTTCGTGTCAGCTCGCTATTGTCTCGAAATCGTACACATAAACCATGGATCTGAACGACCACATTGATTGAATATAGAACTTCTCTTTATTTTAGCAAATTTGATGGCGTATAATTGGATGATTTAGTCCCATTTTCTCCTGTTGTATGCTGGAAATAAACCGTACGCCCAGTAATAGTGAGGTGAGGTGAAAATTGGGTTTAACGTCGTGCATGAGAATATTTTTACTCATATGACGACGTGCATGGGTGTGTATGTGTATGTACGGCTGCTTGTACTAGCCCAGAGTTAAGCTGGTTTTTTTAGTGCTAGCCGACTGAGATACCATGCCGCAGTGAAGCATGAATACCCCACTCAGACACATTATACTGACTCCGAGCCGACCAGTCCTTGTTGTACCCATTAATGCCGAGCGCCAGACAGGGACCAACATGTACCATATTTCAACGTCTTTTGGTATGACGCAGTCGGGGATCGAACCCGCGACCTTCCATATCTATTCTTCCATTTTGCAACCCGCGACCTTCCATATCTATTCTTCCATTTTGCATAGGGTTGATCATGGTGACACAATATAAGCATATGACAATAGTGATGTTATGGCAACATCTGTCTGATGCTACCGAGAAGTTGATTACACATCGGACCATCTGCGTGTTATCTACTGGTTATGGAAAATCACATGACTATGATATGAACTAACTGGCAAAAGAAACGATATATACCAAGCCTAAATCAGTGATATTACAAAACGACAAACCACCATTGTGAAAAAGGATAGTTAATTATAATAACAGGTGTATGGGAAACATGCACAAGCCCAAATATCTATAGAAGAATTTCGAGATACACAACATAAAAAGCAAGAGTACTGTAAGTTCCCATGGTCCCTAGTATGGTGATCTACCTTCAGCTGTTGGCGATCTATAAGCTGTTTTTTATATTATATCGTTCTCTATAGTTAAAGTATTTCAGTGTTAATTACTAGTATTAAATTGAAATCTGTGATAAACTAGTTGTTTTACTGTCCTTCGCTGACAGGTTTTTATAACTTACCTTTTTTAAAATTATAACTTGTTTGTAGTGACGATATGGCTGAAATATTGCCGATTTGACTTAAAATCTTAACTCACTCACTCACTCACAACATAAAAGTTTAATTCAAGGGTGAACTGGTCAACAAATTCAGAGCACATTCTCCAATATTCAAAGCCAAATCGCTGATTTTGTTTGGACTATGTATGTATGCACTGCTGTAAAGAGTAATAAAGTAAATCAAAAACAGTTCATTGCAGCATTTAATCGGACTTGTTAAATGATATCGGGCTGAATAATTGCTGATATCAAATTATAGGATTTATTGACATGTATCAGATCTATTCTAATATCACCAGGGTTATCATTGATAATTTGATATCAGCAATTATTCAGCCAGATATCAGTTACTTATCATGCTCAAAATGATCAATATATAGCAAATGTATACTCTTGTAATGAAATATTTTTGACTTACTGACAGTGTGGTCTAATCACTTGGGCTCACTGAGATCGGACTGTAGTTCCATCGCCATGTTGACAATTATACCGGAAATGACCTCGTGTGACCCGGGTCTGAAATTCTACGTGATGAATTTGCCCTGACCTTACCCATGGGGCATCGGCCTCTGCGGGACCCCGTGCGATGACGTCATCAATGTGATAAATAAGGGGGTTGCACGTGCCGAGGGCAGACGTGTTGAGATGGTTGGACAGAAGCAGCAAAAATTGTAAGTGCGTAGGTTTGGTCACACACACTTAGTTACGGTAGACACTTTGTGTCACTTGGGTCACGGGTAAGTTGCTATTCTGTCAGTCACTACTGTTCATATTTTCCACGGGTAGAAATTGCATATTTCTCGTGTTTGTATCGCCTAGCAACACTTGCCAGGCCTTTATATTTTTCAATGTAATGCGCCTTAATTCTTGACGCTGTGAACTGTTGTTGGAATGCTTGTGAAACACTGAGTATTGAAATGTCGGCATGACATTGTGTGATGTTGCGGTGAATATGAAATGTGTACTTGAGCATGTCTGACTACTGATTGTCGAATGTGTATAGTGTGCTTGCATTCTCGCATTTGACACACGCACTCAGTTACAGTAGACTCTTTGTGTCACTTGAGTCACAGGTAACTTGCTATTCTGTCAGTCACTATTGTTCATACTTTTAATTGGTAGGAATAGTATATTTTCCGTGTTTTATCGCCTAGAAACACTAGCCACGCCTCTATATTTTGCAATGTAATGCGCCATAATTGTTGACGCTGTTAACTGTTGTTGGAATACTCGCGAGACACTGGATATTGAAATGTCGGCATGTGTGATGTTGCAGTAAATATGAAATATAAACTTGAGCATGTCTGACTGCTGATTGTCGAATTTGTATCGTGTGCTTGCATTCTCGCATTTGACACCGTGATCATGATGTATAAGAATAAAACTGTATCGGCAGGAACTACTCTTGTGTGATTCTTTTCTTTCTGCTGTGTTTGTGTCGCACTTTGGTGCTGGTAAGTTGGTGAAGCACGAGCCATCCGTACATACGCACAACATATGGAAACAATGTATGTATTTTCATGGTAAAGCATTAACATACTGATCATACTGTGTATTTTCATATATTCAGTTTAGTACAATAATGTGTCAAATTCATTGTATTGAGCACCATATTTGTGTGTAGTTCTGTGTACAGATCATTTGATTCACCATGTTTATTGTTATCATAAACATTTCTGAATAATATTGGTATAACGTGTCCATGTTGTTTTGCAAACCGATTCAGACACTTAATTTTTTGTTTGCAAATGTAAATACTGTCGTTAAACATCGCATACCCATTAATCTAGATTAATTGTTATTTGGTCATGTTACACTATCACTATATGAAAATGAATTATTATTTGAAAATGTACATAGATATATTAAGCTCACTGAAAGATTTTGTAGGTTTATTCTTGTATATACTATACACATCCTCTTTAAATACCTTGTACATTCCTTCCACAAATCCCTGTTGTCAATGTTTTTTATATTGTAAATATGACATATGTAACTTCTGGGAAAGGGCGTTCCTAAGTTGGACACCTTGTGCCCAATTCATTTCACTTTCGAATAAAATATGTTAAAAGCAAAGACACTTAATGTGACAACATTCTGTGAAAAAAGGTATGTTCATGGATGGATCTGTTTAATTTATTTACAAATGATTTGTGCCAAAGTAACTCAAGATTAGGAATATATATTTATCACTATTATGATACTGGGAGTCAGAAATTTTACAAGCACACCCACAGACAAAAAACAATGGATTGAATTTTATCATTATGCAATAGAAAAAAATAGATAATCTATGGCTATTCATATTAATAACAAATATACACAGGCTAAATATGATGACAAAAACTGTCATTAACATTATTCATATGTATCTAAACGGATTTCACTAGGCGATCGAAACATATATCCGTTCATTCGTCACCACTCGCCCCTTTCCGTAACCTCCAAGAAGACTCGTCCCCCTCTCGATGCTTGTTATGTGCGAAAATACGACAAACCATCAGAACGCGCGTAAATGACTGCGGTGCTTTGGTAAAAATAATCCTGAGTACTTAAATCGTTTATGGCATTATGTCATTGTTTAAAAAATCATGAAAACTATATATCGTCATATTGAAAGAACAAAGAAGTTAGCTAACAGGATTTTGCTATCTATTATGGTGTTTTTGATAAGAATCATGCGATTGACGGCGAGAGAGTCATGGGTCCAACTGAGGGTGTACGTTTCTGACGATTTGCGGGCTTGCTATGGAGATTGTACGTGCGCTTCCAACAATTATAGGAAGTGTAATTATAAATCGCTACGAGTTTCAAAACAATAATATTATATCTGTATGTAACTAATCAACTTTAATCTTTAACATTGGGCATATATTTCAATTCTCTGGGAATATTTTAGTCTGACCTTCTTGTGGTCATTCATATATTTTTCAGCGAATTCAGTTAAAAGTCCACTTGTGGTATGACAGCAAGGTTACACGTATGTTCAGTTTGAGAAATATTATAAAAGTCATTTTTTGAGTTTCTGCTTTGGGATTTAATGCAGCGGGGTTTTTTTTACAAATTTTATTTGCATATTCAATAAAACAAATCCCATTTGTGATTATTAAACCCTTTTCAGAAATATAATTGGAAATATAAGGTGAATATCTGGTAATAATTACGTCAGAATATGTCTTTAACAAATATTTTTTTTCTTTTCTTTCTTTTAGTTGTACCAAGGTTTAATGCTTTAGAATAAATAGCAAAAAAAAAAACAGCAATACAATGTATGAGTACTTCGGTGATATTAAGTACCATTGGAATCAAACAGGAATAGAGTTATCGTTCCTGTTTGAAGCAGTTCTGATGTTCCTACGCCACTATGAAATCCTTCCAGAGGGGCACTAGTCGCTATTCGGCTTGTCCCGGAATAACACGAGTTGGTCACGAATGTAAAAAAATCTACGGAAGCTGTCGATGTTTATCGAAGAGAGGCCAGATATTTGTTCAAAGCAGAGGGTTGTGCTAATGCGACGGTCAGTGGTCAAAGTCAAGTCAAAGATATTTATTGTACTTAAGGCCTCCGGCCCATATGCAAGTAATACAAGTATATATACAGCACATGTTACAGACATTCACAAAGAAATTACAGTTCAGATAAGATATTGCTTCTAAGGATAACAGCATGTTTTACATAAAGCGCAAGATTACGTATTACATTTTCATTTTTGGAGGATAGAATGGAAGCAAAGGCAGATGAAGGATATTTTAACAGGTAATTATTTGGGATATATTTTTTTCTTAAATCAGCAATTGAAATATGAAATATGAAATGCAGTAAGACAAATTGAATACGATGAGCAGAAAGACTAACGGGATCGGATGGTGAGGCTCGCTGACTGGGTTGACACATGTCGTCCCAGTTGCGCAGATCGATGGTCATCTCGTTGATCACTGGATTTTCTGGTCCAGAATCGATTGTTCTCAATTCACTGGAATACTGGTGACTGCGGCGTTAGACAACAAACAAAGAATCATACCCTGATTTGTGTAGACAAATAAAATATTTTAAATTCATCTGTAATTATGCTTGTACCAATTTCAGTATGGGCAATGTTATTGGAAAGAGGATGTCTGTTGTTCTGTCATGAATATTAAGGAATAGAAGCTTTTTATGTTGTCTATCAATGAGATTGAAGATCAGAAAGTTTATAATAACTGGAACCTATCTGGCATTTTCCTTTCCTCCCCCTTTACCATCATCACTATCCAGTACAGTCATAACCAAGTACAACAGGACCATCCGGAAGAGAACGAGATGGTACGAGATGTAAACAAAGTTCTCACAGACGTTCAACATTTTCACGGCGATGTCATCTGGAACGTCATGGCAAAAGAAGTATAACATCGGCGATAGTGTGCCAAGTGAGACAGTGCGCCAAGTGAGACAAAGGTACATCGGCGACAGTCTACTAAGTAAGGCTGTCTGGCTTTCCCAGAAATGTCCAAATCTCACAGATGTACAATTTCAGTTTTGTGCGACAATACGCGTGACATCTGATTTGTTCTTGCCATAACATGGGCATGTTACATCTATCATTGTTGAAGCTTGTGTTCTTTCAAGAAATCAAAGGTCTTTCCCGAGGTATTACATACCACACCAGTCTAAATCAAATAACATTCCATTTATCTTAAAAAATAGCTTGAATACCGAGTGCAACAGGTGAATGTATCCAATGCTACCGATCGATTGTCTGCCTTAGAGTCAACACCTGCGTGTGCCACAATAGTGATTTCAAACAAGACTCTGAGGAAAGAAGGGGGGATTCCGCCTCTCTCTCTCTCTCTCTCTCTCTCTCTCTCTCTCTCTCTCTCTCTCTCTCTCTCTCTCTCTCTCTCTCTCTCTCTCTCTCTCTCTCTCTCTCTCTCTCTCTCTCTCTCTCTCTCTCTCTGCAGTACATCAATGGATCTTATCTTATCGCTGCTGTTCTTAATCTTGTACATCAACAGTGAAAGATGAGGGACACATCAAGGAACTGAAAGCAATCAATTCTAGCAAGATGGCTGCCGAGCTTGACCACGGCGAAAAAACCGATCACGGCGTTGCTAAGCCAAGCAAGAAGATTGCCGAGCTTGACAACGGCGAGAAGACCGATCCCGGCGTTGCTAGGCGGTCACCCAACCTAACAACAGTCAAAATCCGGGAGGTGAGTGTTGCCTATTTTTTCCATACTATGTCGAATATCTAGTGAACCAGGGAAACCATTGATGTGGGATAAATGAGACTAAACAAACTAACTATATTAGTTAGCCTGCTATCAGACTTAAAGGTCACATGCAACGTAAAACACAACTTTGCAGATTCTGATACCTTTCGGTATGGACTTACCGAGACAAAGCGTCAAAAATGCAAATTCAACTTATAAAGTTGAAAAATAACGCGATGAAAAAAAACCGCGCGAAATCGGAGTTCAAACGTTTCACTAATTTTCCCCAGACTTTTCTGGGGAATACGGGTTTCAGCAGCTGGCTGCGCTCATAGCACGTGCGCAGTGAAATAGGTTCGCGCAACTTGGAAGCGGGCTGTCTGGTGAATACTCTGTGAAGGCTTTGGTGTGAGCTAGTTTCATAATGTTTTGTTGATATCTCACAGGCGCGAGCTTTTTGTATGTTATGACAGTAAATAAACTGTTTATATAATTTCTTTTGTCTATTTCACCACACGTTCTTCTTACCGAGTCACTTTCTCAGTTCGATACTTAAAAGCATTATTTAGAGTTGACACGATTTCTAACTGTGATATAGATATGTCGCTGTCACAGACAAAACTCAATGTCTTGTTTTATTGACACCAGTGTGTCTGCCTGCCTGTCTGCTAATGACAATATTCAATAAACAACTGCGATCACTGACCACATGCAATTTGAACTTAACACCAATCAGGCTATACACCATAAACAAAACGCATTGATTTATGGCCCGAGTTCGGTCTCTGTCACATTATGTAATTACACAGACAGGCAGGTGTGATACTTGAACACATGACATGTTATAATGTCTGTTGATTGCAAAATGTTATACACAAAAAATGAGCATGTATTTACAAAACCCAACTTTCTATATACACACACACACTGACCCGTGAAGGCGGCATCTGCTAATGAACCAGCCGTTACACTTGAGTGCACACCAACCCGCTCTGACTGGGTTCGGTATCCCGGCTGCTTCGTTTCGAGGGCGGTAAACCCAAGTACAAAATATTGCACTTTTGATTTGCGATTATACGCTTATAATTTTGTTTATTTGTTTTTTCATAATCAGCAATGCATATAATATGTCATGAAGAAGTGATAATTGTGTTTTAATTATGTTTGATTTTTTGGTTGCATGTGACCTTTAACAATACGTTTATGTAGGATTGAGATTAAACAACAAACTAACTATATTAGTTAGAATGCTGCCAGAATTCAGCCACCCGACTGTTTGTTACTAGCATACTGTTAATTTCTTTCCTTCGTTGATAAAACTGTGCATTTCATATGCTACAGTAAGCCATTCCCCATAATCGAGGGAGGACGATAAAGAAGATGAATTTTGTTTTGACAACAAAGCATAACCTTTTTTTGAGATTTGATAACATTCCTTCCAGGCTTGTGAAAACTCAGACACTGTGGGACAGCTGACGGAATTGGTGGTCATTAAATTATCAGCTAAATAGGTATGAAGATCTTCGCCTGTTAGGATATTTGAGTTTTCCTGTTCAAGTTCATCAATAAATTTGCTAAAAATCCCGATGAGAACTTAACACCTCTTTCTGGCTTTCATTTTAACAACCTGGTTCACTAATATCCGACATAGTATGGAAAAATAGCCAACACTTACCCTCCCGGTCTCACTGCGGCCGACTCCAAACTCAAAATGGCGTGTCTGTCTAGACATGACGTCACGCGGGTATTGAATTCAAAACAAGTCACACATTAGGGATGTTGGCTGGTTCTATTGATTTTATTAGATCCTTGTTCCGCTTCAAAACATAAAAAACATTTTTAGATGAAAATGAAAACATTTTTTTCGAATCAGGTTACATAAGCTTGGAAAGCTGTTTGAGTTATATTCCGCTTGAATTAGGGTTGGGGAATTGGTTTAAAATCTTATAATTGATGATTGATTCATTACAACCGATCAATCATCGAAAATAGTTGGTTAGCGTCATGTATCAAATTGTCCTGGCTATGTTTGTTAAACGCAACAAACAAAACCAACCTTGGGATAAATATTGTCATTGCAAATTTGTGTTCGATTATGACAAAATGTGATCGATTGCTTGGTCGTTTAGTCATTACGACCAATCTTGGATTATTTCAATCTATTGGGCCACCACTAGCTTGAATGCAGTGTTTATTCAAACAGCAGGTCTGCTGGTGCGTGACTTCTCAATGAACCAGCCTGGCTATAGCTTGAATGCAGTGTTATTCATGGTGTTATGTTGCCTGAATAGGGCTATGTCATGTTGAAATCTAGCTGCTCTCGCTTGACTGCCTAGGGTCGGGTTGACCTATAGCATATGGTTAAAATCTACAAAACAGTTTAATGTGTTGCAAGGTTTACTTGCTTATGTTGACATCAACAAAACAGTTTAATGTGAATCTTTGATGAGATCTTTGTTCTTGGTAAGGAAGGTTTGAATGATTTGTTGTCGACTGCCACGCCTAATACCATGCTAGCTGCCACGAGGGACGTATCCACGCCGTCGATGGCATTGACGGCTCGATGGCATTTTTTGTGCAATCCGAGTCGCACGTCGCGTTCTCGTTCCAATTGGTGTTTAATTCCGCTGATCTGTCGCAAACAAAATCCATCCACGGTTTCGCGCGTTTGAGCCACTTCGTCCATGGCCGGATACAATCCCATCTCGAGTATATTATCAGTTTAGGAAATAAGCTTCAATTGGTCCTCTGATAATCTTTGCTTAATGTATTTAGCTAATGAGGTTGAGATTGTCATATAAATAAACCCTTGATACTATAATGGATTTCGTGGTATCTGGAATACGAACAAAAACTCCCACCAGGTTGGTCGTGGGAACTGTTCCAGGTTGTATATGAATACGGCAACATTGATGTTTATGTTCGCTACCCCAGCGTTTTATTCAACCCGTCCAAAAGGATCACCTCATTTTCAGGGGGCATTTCCAAGATAGCATTCTATAATCAGTGTTGAATGTAATTTCATACTGAAATCTGGATGTAAAAATCAAATTGATATGGTGGAATAACAAATATCAATGCGGCTTGTTAATGGGTGGGGGCTAACGTAGAGCCCCTATGATCCGGTATTCGCAAAAGTTGTATCGAATGAGGTGCTGGAGTGGCAGTCATCCAAATAATCCCTTTATTTTTTATTTCGATGACGTAACCATTATCATTTAAACTTATGTAGGGGTAGATGAATATAAGGTTAATTAACCAGTCAACTTTTAGTATCACCTCTCATCGTTGGTACGCGTTGTTTTGTAAGTGCAATACGTACAAGGCGTCTTCCATCTCGGGTTGGTCGAATCCTCGCGTGTTCCCGAGATCGGAAAACGCGTCGGTGGCGATTTGATTCGGGTTTGACACGTCGCCCATGGTTATGCTCGTATTATGGAAGAGTCTTCAATTGATTCTCAGACAATTTCTCGTGCGTAAACTCTAAGCTGATGAGATTGAGTTTTGGACGTAAAAAAATATTCGTGAGTGCGATTTTATTCTCCAAGTTAATCGTGACTCCTTCGAGACTCGCATAAGCGTTGATGTTTTTCTGTATGTAAATCGAGCAAACGTGATTTTGATGTTTTCGAGGCCAACGGAGGTTTACTCCCGGTATAATTTCAACATCTCGGTCGGGTGATGCCTCCCCGAGAAAGACTTCGATATAAAGCGTAGAATTGTTTGGAATCCCTTGTGTGAAATCGGTCATTGTCTTCGAATTCAAGCACCAACTGTAAAGTCGTATTTCGACTATCCGTTCGACTCGCTAGCAAATGACCCGCTTTATTCGGGATGAGGTTCATGATCACACTCCTTCGTGGCGTGGGGACGTAAGCCGCGATGAGAATCCCTCATTGAGGACTTTCGTTAAATAATGATCCCTCTACTCGACAAACTACGTAGGGAGAAACGAGGGTGATATCGATTAGCCATTCGATTTGGGAGGAGATCAACGTCCATTGGTTATCATCGGTTAGGACGACCTTTACAACGTGTTTTTAAGAGACCTTGGGTATCGACATTGTCTAAATCGCCTACATTGCCATCGAATGCCGGGCCCATCACCCATGTGTTATTGTCGTTGAGGACGAGATAGGGTGTTTTGTTGTTCGAGCCGATTCGGTGATCGAGAAACGGTTGTTCAGACGCGTCGGGGCGGACGTCCATGGCCTCGATATTTACTCCCGGCCTGCATCGAGTCATAATTCGAGGGAAATTCGACAGCCTGTACGATAGTATAGGTCTCGTGGATACGTTAATCGATTATAGCTTCGAAACCCGAGAATGCGATGTCCAGTACTCCTTAATCCACTTTGAAGAATTTATGGCAGACCCACTCCATAAAGTCGTCGCTCAATATTACGGATACCTTTCGTGAACCCTGGATTACGAGACATCGAAGGATGCCTCTCGCTGGAAGCTTTATTCACACAAATAAGCTCTAAGCCGCATCTGCGGCAAAAAACCCTCTACTACTACTTGTAGTTTATATTATTGCTAAGAGCTTTCAGCACATATAAAAGTATTCAACACCTTTGTAATCTCGCTTTGTAATCTCTGTGTATATCCCTTCTATATTATTGAACTACTAACGAAATTTTCCTTCCAAGACTGACAAAAGGCCACCTGCTTGATCGAGACATTGATGTGTGGACTGTGTAATGAAACGGACGTAAAATATATGTATTCGTAGTAGGTGTATGCATGTACGTGTGTGCAAGTCAATGTAATCCGTGACATTTGAACCAATTACAACGTAAGATTTTGATCAGGTCTTGGAATTTTCATGAGTAAGTATAGTAGTATTAGTACCTCAACATTGAACTATCACTGAAAATGGCAAGCTAAAGCGTATTCTCTAGGCATTTCCGACATTACATATTTAGCCATGTGACGACTCCGTCACAGACATTATCTCATCTCCAGTCTGTCTCATACTCCATACCTTCGTCCCAACCCTTTCTGTAATGCAATGGTCAAAATTTAGCCAGTTTAGACCCCACATGGTTCTGAATATCCGAGCTCACTGGGGCTAATTCAGTATATATAGTGATATCAAAGCTTTCCTATATTCAGGGCTTACGCTTAAGTGACCTGCTTTTGTTTGTACCATACGCACGGTTTTCCTGGTGACTTCATTCTCTCTCTCTCTCTCTCTCTCTCTCTCTCTCTCTCTCTCTCTCTCTCTCTCTCTCTCTCTCTCTCTCTCTCTCTCTCTCTCTCTCTCTCTCTCTCTCTCTCTCTCTCTCTCTCTCTCTCGGCGCGAGGGACGATTTAATGCAACGTTGCATTGATTCATTCGGACTTTTTAATTTAATATTGTAATCTAAATACGCATTTATTTTTGGAATAAATTATATGGTAGGTAGCTTCCCTGAGGCCTGATAATTAGTATTATTGGAGAGAAATGCATTATTTATTTTAGAGAAGTGTGGTGTGATATAAAGTCCCTTTAACTGCGCACTCATCACTCACTCCACTACTCCACCTTGTACAAAAGATCATATAATCTTCGATCAGCACAGCGCCAATTGTAAATTGTGCAAGTCTCTTCTGATAATAAAAATGATTTCAACCTCACTGACAATACCTTAGGTAAAGAAGAGAGGCTTTAAAACACATCTCGTTGATGGAAAATTATCCATCCTAGAAGCAGTTCAGCTTGGATGCCGGGGTCCAGATCTGGAGGTGGTACTGAATACTAGCTGGTTTGCTGAGCCCAGTGTTTAGTCTCTAACTGTTAAAATATCCTTGATAGGTTCCAACTGACTGCCCCCGTGGTGTGCGCGGTTAGAGCGTCCGCCCGGAGAGCGGAAGGTCGCGGGTTCGATCCCCGACCGCGTCATACCAAAAGACGTTAAAAATATGTACTTGTTGGTCCTCGCCTGGCGCCTGGCATTACCGCGGGCCACAACAAAAGGACTGGTCGGCTCGGAGACAGTATAATGCGTCTGAGTGGGAGTATTCGTCACCGCGGCTTAGTATCTCCAAGTGCAGCCGCACGATAAAACCAGCTTAAGTCTGGGCTAGTACAGCCGCACGTACACATGCACACGCATGCATCGTCGCCATGGCGAGCGAAATGTTCTCAAGCATCGACGTTAAGGCCAATTTCACCCTCACCTCCACCCTCACACCTCTTAACCGCTGGGCATGGCATGCAACATTATTAGGTTACACAAAGCGTTGTTCTCCTTCCCAGCTGTAGGGTTTTTGAGGTCCGCTTCGGTAAAAGCAAACTAGACAGAAGAATAGCAAGTTATTTGTATCACACCCAATGCCAATGAAGAATAATGCAACATTCGAGGACCAAAAAGGCCGTCATTAGTTTGTCCAAGTAAATAAGCCCATTGAAAACATCCCCGCATAATCAGCGAACATGAAGATGGTGTAAACGAATACACTAATAGTTATCTTTCTACAGACCTGGGCGCAATTAATCGAAGCCA